TTTACCGATTTTTACGCCGTTCAAGATGATGTTTTTGTGTCTGACTCGGTTCATTCAAATCGAAAGTCGTATATATTTTATTCGATGGCACTAAACCGTACACATTGGGAATTTTGATGAGCAAGAGATGATATTTCAATCAATTCACTGTGTCTACATAAAAATCACTCACTTTGTCACTGTATTCATTAATAAAATTGTTTGTGTATTTAATTTCTATATATTTTTTTTCTCTCTAAAAACGATTGTTCATTTAAATGTCGAAATTTGATGAACAAATTTGTTCCATGACTTCATGCAAAAAAAAAAAAACTTAATTTATTGTATATATGTTTTGACGTTTATGTTCACGCGAGCCAGAGAGAGAGAGGGAGAAAGAGCAAAAAAGTGTAGTTTTGAGTATATTTTTTAGATGCTTTTGTTGTTGCTATTACTGTTACTGATCACTGCGTCTTTTAATATTGCTTTTATTTTTGTTCTTTCGCTCACTATGGTTCAGTCTTCCTGACGTCAGACAAATCATTCTCCCAACGAAAACTGTCTGTAAATAAAAAATAGCACCATGTTATAATACAAATACAATTACAGGCGCAAATCGAAAAATTTGTTCGAAACAAAAACATACGCATCAAACGCGAACGTTTCATTCGTTAAAATAAATATAACCAAAATAAATGTTTACCACAGTCTCTTACTCGATTAAGCATGCACGAAAGTAAAAAATGTACGTGATTATTCTTGGAACGATGAAAAATTACGGATACTCAAATTTTATCGGGCAATATTAATTTCTGGTGCAATTCCAAGTAAAAATGTTGATCATTTGACTTCGGGCACTATCTTTCTTTTGTTTGTCGACAGTATGTGTGTGTACGTGCGTGCGTGCCAGTGTGTGTGATTTTATTACTCAGTTGTGACTGAGTGCGTTCAATGTTCGATGAAATTGCATCCCAACAACTGTCACTCATTCGCAGTCTCTCTCTCTCTCTCTCTCTCTCTCTCTCTCTCTCTCTCTCTCTCTATTTGATGTAGAGTCTGCCATATTTATCTGCTTATTAAATACATATTTTGTCGACTTGTCACTTAGTGTTGAATGTGTATATCATACGACAGCCAACGAAACAGAAAAAAAGAACTAATCATATAAAAAAGAGCAAATATAATATATAAAGACGGTGTGTGTTACCTGAATCTATTGTTTTTAATTCGTTCATTATATTATTTATTTTCATTTCCAAATTCATTTAAGAAACCAAAATTGTGTTTGGAGCGTAGAAAAATTGGGTACCAAGAGCCGAAACAAAAGGGAAAGAAGAAGCAAGAGAGAGAAAAAAGGGACACGAAATGGGTTTAACAATATCAAGTGCATTGACGCGTTTGTTTGGCAAAAAACAAATGCGCATTCTGATGGTTGGTTTGGATGCGGCCGGTAAAACGACAATTCTTTATAAATTGAAGTTAGGCGAAATTGTGACGACCATTCCAACGATCGGTTTCAACGTTGAAACGGTTGATTATAAAAATATTTGCTTTACCGTTTGGGATGTTGGCGGCCAAGATAAAATTCGACCATTATGGCGACATTATTTTCAAAATACACAAGGTCTCATCTTTGTTGTCGATTCAAACGATCGCGAACGTATTGCCGAAGCGGAAAAAGAGCTTAAAGGCATGCTCAAAGAAGATGAACTACGTGATGCCGTTGTTTTGGTATTTGCTAACAAACAAGATTTACCAAATGCCATGAGCGCCGCCGAACTCATTGATAAATTGAATTTAAATCAATTGCGCAATCGAAATTGGCACATACAAGCCACATGTGCAACACAGGGTAACGGTTTGTACGAAGGACTCGATTGGCTATCAAATGAATTGGCCAAAAAGTGATGTGTACTTGTGTCTATATGTGCGCGTGTGTAACAACCATCTCACATTCCTCAAAAGATGAAAAACAACACGAACCAGCTAATAAGATACACGCAAAATAAACACACTGAATTTTATGAAGAAACATGAAATAAATCTTTGTCTTTAATGAAACACGTAATATGTTCCACGAACGCAAATAATGATTTATATTTAAAGAAAAGAAAAAAAAATAAATGAGATGACAGAAATAGGTGCAGAAATATACAGACAAAGAGAGAGAAAAAAAATTATTATTTCGAAACGACAAATCGGAGTAAATGAGATATAAAAAAAAAACAGAAAACGACATCCAAATCACCTTACCTTATTATTCAATTTGTTTAAGTATAATAAGAATGGGTCCGATTTAAAATCAACAACAACAAATATTTACCGATTTTTCAAATGCATTCATTTTGTTTTTCACTAAAAAAAATTAATTATGAATATTATAATGAAACAAACATTTATATAGATAATTCCATGATGATAAAATAATGAAAAGTATTGAGATATAAAAAAAATAAATAATCGATGTTGTTTTCATTTAAAAATCTGTTGATCTTTAGTTTATTGAAAGTAATGTCGGACAAAACATTGAAAATTGTGTGTACGAACTTTACAATTTATACAAATGGGTTCGTATGTCTTCTAATGTTCATGCATTTTCAATCGATCTGTGCACAACGAAAGCCTTGTCATATTGCTAATTCAATAAGAAAGAAAACGATGATGCAGTCCCTTTTTTGTGTCGACGATCATGCGACGGCCAATGTCTTTATGGAAATTTATTCATTTTACTTTTGTTGAAATGAACAACCATTTGCTTCTCACTTCCGATGAAATTATCATTTCACTCTGATTTATTCATTAATGGTTTTTTTTTTATGTCAAACAAACACAACCAGATTCAATGACATCAAAGTAAATAATTTGTGCGATGTGTCAATTTTGTTTTAATCGCATTATCGAACGTAAACAGTCTGTCACAAATACATCACTTGAAAAAAATTAATCAGAACATCTAGTTATGTGCCAACCCAGCAAAAAGTGTCACTTTTTTCAGAAATCCGTGTAGTTTTAGCTATTCAAGAAAGGTTCTTTGCCCTTTTGAATAAAAACACTTTTTGAATTAAAAAAAAAAACAAAGTCCCAATTTGACACCAAATCGAGATTAAACCTGTGAGACGACTCTCACAAATTAAATTAAAATCCCCCTTCCCCCAAAATGTTCACAAAACCATTACGTTGGGAAATCTATGGTAACAAATTAATTATTCTCTTATTCAAACACATCAAAACCGTTAAATTAAGATAGATAGTTTGAGTAGACACGATGTAGGAATGAAATAAAATGAAAATTTTGTACAGGTATTATTAATACCGTATTAAATACAGGTTAAATTTTTATTAGTCTTTCGATTTTATTTGAAAAACTTTTTGGAGATTAAAACTATCACAAATTAAATTAGAATGCGGAATGCAACGATCGCCTCAAATGCACAAAACCATTACGGCCAACTTCATAAGAGACTTCTAATCAAAATTCATTGAAAGATAACATACGATAATTTGGTGATAATTTTCTTTGGCTTCGTTCGAAAGAAACTATGTAAACAAACGATTTATATACATTCATAACCTATACAAAAGACGATCTTTGCATTGCTCTATAAATGTATAATTGAAATTTATTTTTTGATTAAAAACTGTGTAAAAATTGTATTCATAAAATCTATAGAATATTCTATATATCAGATATCTGTTATCATTGTTGTTCAAAATGTTCACTACACAAATGTAAAGAAAATCGTTGCCGCATACGCCGTTAAAATAATTGCAATTCATCAGCCGGTTGCTGCTTTTGCTGCGACCACAGCCGGTGGATTTGGACATCGTCCACCTTCATCCATACAATATGGCGGT